GTGAATCCCACCTCACAAACTACATTTTTTATCACAATTAAGGACCTGAAATTTTAAAATTTCATGGTCCATAATTGAGATTAATATTCTTAAAAGGTCCTTAATTGTCATTCTCCCTAAATTCATTAACTATGAGAGATAATGTAACACAAATTTAAAAAATTTTCATTTAAATAGGGGTAGTAAAATTGAAAGTTGATTCTATTCTTAAACAAAATTAATGACTTAACCACCTCTCCTTAGTTCTAATAAGGTAGTTAGAAGCACTTTATAATAAAGACTGAAGGAAGTATAAACAAAATCAAAGAAACTTGATGTTTGAATTGTTCAATGAACTCCCATAGAGGTTGTGAACCTAATGAAGGCTTCATTGAAGGACAATCAATTGCCCATGTTCTTACTACATTTGATGGCAGCTTTAGCAAAGATTGAAGCCTTAGGCAATAACTCAAGTAAACACAATTAAGCTTTAAAAGATTAGAGATGAAGCCACTAGGTAGGTTAGCAAAATTATTTCCACATAGATCAAGCCACCCTAATGATGATAATGCATTGATATCCATGGGAAAGGACTCATTATAGAGATTGCAATAGCTTAATGCTCTGTTTGGTTGGGAAGAAAATATGAGAGGAAAGAAAACATAGAGAGAAAACAAGAGAGAAAACAAATTTTTCCTTGTTTGGATAGGGAAGAAAAATTGAGAGGAAAAAAAAGGGAGAGAAAAATAGGGTACGGGACCCACTATTTTTTCCTTCCAACTTTTCTCTCCAAAAGTAGAGAGATTTTGGAAGTAAAACTTTTTTCCACCGTCTATCCTCTCCCTTATTTATTTTGCACTCTAACTCTCAAGAGACTACTTAATTACATTAATTTAATTTTAATTAAACAATTTGGTTTATAATTTTTAAATTTTATATTTATGAATTACATTAATTTAACTATTTAATTAAATAATTTAGCCATTGGCTAGATCAAGTGTCTAAAATTACATTAATTTAATTTTAATTATTTTATTTTAAAATATAATATAAAAATATATTTTTAACAAATAATTTGATTTTAAATTAATTTGATTATGTTAATTTTAATATAATTTCTGCTTTCAATTTATTTTCACAAATATAATTACATGAAACATGATATATTTTGATATAAGGGCATTATAGTTATTATAATATCTGTTCTTTTTCTTTCTTCCCTATTTTCTCCTGTCCATCCAAACAGAATGAGTGATAATAGTTTCTTTCCAGTTTTCTCTTCTCTCCATTTTCTTTCCTCTCATTTTCTTTCCTTTCAACTTTTCTTCCTATCCAAATAGAGGATAAATCTAGCTTCTTTAGAGAGGATAAACTTAATGATGAAAATGAGGGTAGCACTTGAAGGCCTTATAAGCCTAAACACCATTTTGAAGTGAGAGAGAAAATTCCATGAAGAAGATTGTGTTTGTCTGTTGCATCCTTGAAAATATAGTTTTCTTATATGTTTCAAATGAAAGACATATGAAGGTACTTCTATTATAGCAATTCCACTTGCATCAAGTTCTTCAAGGGCCACATTTTCATGCAATTTCTTTGAAAGCCTTAAGAGTTTAGAGCAACCAGAAAATTGAGAATTCTAATCAACTTCAAATATTGAAACACATCTGGAAGGCTCGCACCATTTTTGCAATTCTGTAGATTTAAAATAGCAAGACTACCCAAATTAACAATTGACTGAGGCAGTTTTGCTATTACAGTCTCTTCTAAATCAAGCGTTGAAAGGCATGTCATCATTTTCCCAAAATCTAGAAGCTATTTAATCTTGGAACAACTAGAGAGTATTAAAGTTTCCAAGGATCTCATCTCAAACTTACTTGGTAGAGTCTTAATACTCTTGCAATCCTTCAAGTTAACCATAACAAGGTTCTTATGGTGTGCAAGAAAGGGATGTACTTCAACAAGGTTGATACAACCATCAAGTAAGAGCTTTTGAAGATCAAGGATATCATTGAAATTTGGTGTTTTGATTAAGTATCTTGAGTTGCTTAAATCAATGAATTGAAGTGTCGCATCCTAAAAAATCAGGTGTAACTGGCACGGGATGTACATATAAAACCCATATCTCTTAAGCCTTAATTTAAAAAACTCACATTTTATACCGTAAACATATTTGACATTGCAATAGGATTTTATTTTTAATACTTTTCATGCAACAAGATTTGTAACTTTCTGTAGAAAGTCCTAGCAATACCTCACCTACAAGTAAGATTTTCCAAAATCTTATAGCAATAGAGAACAACAGCGACCTAACAAAAGGAGTTCTACTCCTAACCAACAGATATACAATCTCATAAGAAAGACAAGGATCCTACCTATAGTACATGTGGAATACCGAAGACCCAATCAAGTTGAGATTTGCTTGAAATAATTTTTTCATTTCAATACATTAGAAAAGCCTCTCAATAACTAACTAGAGCTATAAGTTCAAAAATCCTATTTGAAACCAAAATATTTTTCAGTGAATAACATCCCAGATTTAAATTTTAAGAGAAGTAAAAGAAAGAAATATGAATGAAGTAGGAATCAGTTTAAATAAAAATATAATAAATCATTTAGAATAGAAGGGTTGCGTAACTCAAATCAAATTATTCCATTCAAATACTTTATCCAAAAATATTCCCATATGATAATAACACAGTAATCCACATCCTAATTATCATGCCCGAATCAAACAACTAGAAGATGCATCATTCATTGTAAAGAAATCTATTCATAAAAACCATCTTGTTTAAAAGGATTAGTTAAAAACAATAATTTCAAAATGTTTCTTTTGAAGGACTTGATCAGAACGACTAACAAGCGTGGACACACAATCTATGACAGTAAATAAACGTGGACACATAGTCCACGAGAGTAAATAACTAATAAGTGTGGCTAAAAGCCACGAAACAAACGCAAGCATAAAACCTATAAAACAAGCATGAATATGATGCTCATGAATATCCATCCCGTCCTTCCACGTGCATTGGCCTGTGCACGGGGCTAGCACCTCCTGCAAGTATCTTACTAGTTAGGTGTATCATAGCGGGCTAAAGGCTAACGAAATTGCTGTTAACAACCAACATTTTGATTCAATCCCCAACTTAAATAAAACACTTTCAATATAATAAATAATAGTAGATACCCAATCATAAAAGAATTTTAACTCTTCTTTCAAAACTCAATATAGTAGAAGCAATTTTTTTTTTCATAATAACCAATGGCAAAACTTAATTTATAATAATAAAATGATCATGGATATGCTTAAACGTTATTTTGGAAGAAATAAATTTATAAGTAAGTCATTTAGGATGCTATTTACTTACCTGAGATACTTTCAAATACAAAGTGTACTTATAATCAGCTACTTTTGTGATATTGTCCGCTTCTTAATCCCCTAATACCCCAAGTGATATCATTGTTATTTCTTTTATTCATTTTTACAAATTTAAAATTTTCAATCCAAGTTAATTTACAGGAATAGAAAAAAAAATTCTCAACTTAAACCATTCACAATAAAATTTCAAGTCTCTAGGATATTTATATAAAAATATTCAAAGTCACCAGGTCTTTTGATAGAAAACAGGCAACTTCTACCATGACATTTCATTAAACACATTGTGTATATTGATAATCGAACCATACAGCAACATTTTATTCTTTAAAGCTCTTTTTTTTTCCCTACAATTCCCAATGTCAAATTTTAATTTACCAAACTTGTCTAATTTCACTCCTTCCACACAGATCAATTAAGGTCAAGGAAAAATAAAATTGATTTCTTCACCATATAGTAACTAAAATATATGTAAGTGAGATTATGAATCAAGAAATATACTTTTAAATTTAATCTTCAACTTGATCAAACCCCATTTACTTCACCCCTAAACACGCACAGCAACAATAATAAAGAAGAAATAAGCAACTTCAACCAATTAACACACCCACACACAAAATCCGTGATAGAAAAGAGGAGCTCCACCAAGAATCAATTAAGTTTTAAGCAAATTCAAGCCCAAATAGAGGGGAGAAACATATTCTTTTATAATTTATCTCAGCTTGTTTAAACCCCTAGTTATATCCCATCCACGCATCACATTTTAATAGAGGAAAAAAATCAATTTCACACCAACCCATTCAACATGAGCTCGCTGCTGCAAGGAGAAAAAGAGATAAATCAAACTCGCCAAGAAATCCTACAGAGAACGAAGGAAGGAGATCATCAAAGCTCCTTCAACTCTTGCGAACAGCACCAACAGAAACAAGGGAGAAGGAAGGAGTTAACCACTTGAACAGGGATGAGAAATTCACAATCGAACCTCCCATAACAGCAGCCTAACTCCTCACGTGTTTACCACACACAAATGAACAGAATGAAGGAGGAGGAGGAATGTTTGACAGCACCGACAGCGGAGAGGGAGACTCAAATGGACGATAAAGCTGGGAACAACTCACAACTTGGACCACAAACAGCAGCAACAGATCACAGCGTTCATGGCCCTTATGTCTGTGAACTGAACAGCAGAGAAGGAAGAAGAAGATGGAGGTGGCAGAGCTCTGCGTTCAGAGCTTCCTTCTCCTCTGGGTTTCTTTTTTTAAGTCGGTGAAGAGAAAGGAAAGGAGATTTTTCCGAATGCTCCGTTTCGGACGGGAGAGATATAGAATTCTGAACAAAGAAATAATTGAGAAAACTATAAAAAATGACACAAGAAAAATTACAACAAACGACACAGTTTTCCTATAATTGAAAATGAGGTAAAATCAAACTTCTGCTCAAAAATTTTGAAACTTTAAAAACAAATTAACATGAGTTTCTCTAAATTATCACTCTTTACTGACTATAAAATTAATTTAAATAAAATATAAATTGAGAGAATTTTTTTAATTTTATTTATTTATTATTATTATTTTTTAAATTTTAGGGTCATTACATATTCACTCTAAAATTTAATAGAATGCTTTATTATTAATTTTAACTTAAATTTCTAGGTCATTACATGAAGCTTTCTCAAAACCTGAAAAGACAACAAAAGTAAAGGAAATTAAACAATAAATTTTCAAAAAATTGCAAGGATAATTGCATTAAATTTTGGATCATTAGTTTTAATGGAAGAACCATAATTATCTGTGTTCCTTTCCATAGTTGTTTGAGTTGACTAAGTTGCATTTTGAGATCAACAAGTTCATTGAGTGGAACTTTACTCGGCAAAGCATCCAAGGGATATCCCTCCCATTGTAGGACTTGTAATGCAGTGGACAAGCACCTTAGCCCATTATGAACATTCACATGGTAAGGAAAATGATTTGAATGACTTGATATAATAAGTAACTTGAGGTTACTCATCTTTGAAAACGCATCATGGTCCCAATATAAGTCACATGATTTGTCTAATCTTAAAACTATGCCTCTAATTGCTTCTGTGCTCTGTTTATAAAATAATCATTATATTCAATCTAACGCTACATAAAATACATGAAACAAATAATTAGTGGTGAATTTGGATGTATAAGAATTTGGATTTAAACCAAATCCTCCATTTAGATATTTAAAAGTCTATCAAATTCAAATCTAAATCCATATTTTATTATAACTTTGTAATTTCAAACTCCTTTTAGATCCTAATTATTTGAAATTTTATCTACTTTAACCTTCTTGTTTTCTTCATATTTTTACTATCAGTGCCTTTATTAGGCTTGCCACTCATCATCTTTTTCATTTTCATCTTTCATTGGTTGAAAAATAGAAATAAGCTTGTCACTTCTAATAATCCATTTCTCCTTCAAATCTCAATTTATCTCTCTATTACCTTTAAATTTTTTTTACGCTATCTAAACAAAGGATTTTAAATTCAAATTTATCAATTCAAACACCACCAAAATATATAGTTCATGTCACAGGAATTTTGGAGCATACCTTATTTTCCAGTACATGACTAGCATCCTCCAAAGACCATATCCTATTACGTTTACCAACATCATTAGGTGATTCTTGAAAAACTATATTCTTACCCATTTCTTGAAGCATATCATGCACCTGGAAAACCTCTTTATCATAAATTATAACTTTTATCCCAATTTTTGGGTGAAGATCACAATTTTGTGAGATTTGCATCGCAATGTCTTTGTCCATCCCATTAAAAAAGCAAGCAATATTTAAAAATATAGTCTTCTCATCACCTTCTAACCCATCAAAACTCACTTTAAGTATCTTCATAATGTCATGTGGAGGAATCTTCTTGAACTTAGCCATTGCATCTTTCCATTCTGATATAGTTTTTTCCACACTAAAAAATGAACCCAACACTTTAAGTGCTAAAGGAAGACCTCTAGCATATTCAATCATACTTCTAGAAAACTCCAAATGACATTCATCATCACTTAAGGTTTTGATTTCATATTGAGTAGAGACACCATGCAATGATAACAAAATGTATATCTCTATCTCTAGTTGTTATTATAATTCCACTCCCTTGACCGAACCATCCTTGCTTTCCTGCTAAATTCTCAAGTTGATCTGTATTACTCACATCATCAAGGACGAGCAGAACTTTTCTATTGCATAAGACGTTTTTTATCAACTTCCTTCCATCATAACAATCATCCAATTCCTCACTTCTTAAATTTAAATAAGAAAGAAGTTTTCTTTGCAAGGAAATCAAGCCATCTTTTTCAGATGCCTCTCTAACATCTAGAAGAAAGCAATGAACTTCAAAGCTTTTGTGTATTTGCTCATAAACAACTCTCGTGGGAGTGGTTTTACCTAACGCTCCCATACCCCATATTCCTATGAATCGAACTTCTTCCAATCCATTGGAGATTATTGAATCCAATTTTGCTATCTTTGATTCAATCCCGACTAATATATCATTGTCAATTGGCAATTCATTATGTAATTTTGTCCACACTTTCTCCGCAACACTTTTTATGAGTTCTGTTTCATGCCTGCGTGGGAAAATTAAATAATAAGATAAATAATCAAGTCAACTGAATTTAAAAATTTTACTCATAAATTATATACATAATTAGAGTGAAATATAAAGGAAATATGGTCATAAACTTAACATTGATTTAGCTTAACCAAAAACTAAAATTAACATTTATATAATCATAATTCCTTAATTACTATAATTTGATATTAGTTAAATAGTTATATTTCTAATTGAAAAGAATAAATTTTGTGGAACCCAATTATTACTAAAAAGAAGGATATGTATAAATTTGAATAACATGCTGTGAAAGGATTAGATTGAAAAACTTCAAGAGGAATGCATGTAATTGTTAGGAATTTTAACATACCAAATAAGTATTTTTTTCAAACGAAATAATCAATTATGAAAGTTGTTTTAATTGATATATCTAAATATATATATATATATAGCACATAAATAATCCTCGATCGATTTTCAAAAGACATGTAAAGGGGTGTATTATCTTTATGTAAAATGATATCCTTATGGTATTTGTTAATTTGGAGTTCATATATGGATATGAATGCCCAGACTTCTAATACTTCTTAAAAATAAAGTCAAGATAATTGTTTGGAGTTGTAGAAATTACCAATTTTTAGAGTTCCAACGAGCTAAGTTAGGAACTTCTTCTAATGCATCCTTCCATCTCTGCACCTTCATTTTCTCGTGTTTCTTCATGCTTTTTGAATGCTTCTGCAAAACTTCCCTTTTGACATCGAACATCAGACGGATCTACACCGTAAAAGATTGGAAATACTTGAAGATCCAACTTTTTCTTAGAGTCAAGAATCTTTAGGAGTTCATCCAAGCACCATGATAAAGAAGCATAATTCGGGGAGAGCACAATAACTGCAGAAAAAGATTCTTCAATTGCTTGGAGTAGATTTTCTTTAATTGCTCCTCCCTTTTCAAGTTGTTCCTCGTCTCTAAAAGTTATAAGTCCTTGTGTTGCAAAGTAACATATAAATGATCTGCAAAACTTGTACGAGTATCTTCTCCTCGAAAACTCAAAAACACGTGATATTTCCATCTCAGAGTTGAACCAGAAATTCTTGAAGAATGCCTAAATCCATCAGCATCATGTGCCATTGCAAGACTTTGGAAACTGAACCGTTCTAATAACAAAGAAATTGGAGAAAAGAAGAATAACAATCAAGACGAAATTATAAAAGAAATTTGGCTCCAAAAATAAAACCCTTCAAACATGGAAGATAGCAGCAACACAAAGCCAAGGCTTTACAAGAAGTAATATTATGAAATCTGTGAGGATGAAGAGAGATATTCGTGTTCATACCTTACTGTCTCTTCAAGACGCAGCTGATGCAGAAATTAATGTCTCCATTAGCAACAGATCTATTCACTGACAGATGGCTTCCATTCTTAATATCATATATACCTTGCATTGACCAAAACAGTGAAATCCCCAAGAATATTGTTAGTAATATTCCGTTCTTAATTAACATTTCAACGCGTTAGTTAACGAACGGGGAAAAATTAATCCTTAACATCTTGTAGTTTTATATGCATAACATTTTAATATGATACATACATACATACATATATATTCTCGTGAATATTCTATACATCTTCATATCACATATACTCACATATTTAATTTCTTTCAACAATATCCTGGTAATTAATTTAGTTCTAACCGCGTAGGAGCTTCGTAGAAGCAACCAGGTCCAAACGCGTCAAGATGTCTTCGCAGAACTTTCAGTTGGGATAGGGACAAAGAAAACGATGCCAAAATCTTCCTTACCTTTCTCTCTCCTACAATTAAATTCCCTAATTGCCCTTATATATATATATATTCCTTTACTCCTATTTATAAATTATTTCCATCATTATTACTAATCTCAAGAAAAACTTTAAACTTCATTAACAAATTCACAACTTTACCTCTATTAAATGCATATTTTAAAGATAAAATGCTCTACCATTTAATAATATTTTCAATATTTAATAGAGATAAAATAATAAAAATTGACATAATAATTATTGAGGTGACTTATAAATGAGATAAAGGCACCTATCTGCCTATGAATAGGACCAAAAGAGTGTGTGTGTGTGTGGTATCAGGCTTGGGCTTTCTCCTCCAGTAAGTAAACTGAGGCCCATTTTGGTGATAACGTTTTAGCAGATGTTTTAAACTTGTCATTCTATATCTTTCCCACATCTCTTTACTTGAGACTTCTTATCAGGGTGTAAAACTCAGACGTCTTTGTCAGCGAACGGTCAGCATCCTGATAAATCCATTATTGACGTAATTTTTGGAGACTTTTAGATTTAATTGTATCAATTAATGTGATGAAATGAGGAAAAAATGATTTATATAGCCTCACTAAGTTAAAAAAAAAAAAAACGGATCGAAACATAAATTTAAACAAGAAAATTCAGTTCCATAAATTTCAACTAGGGGCGGACGAAGAAAAATGATTTCAACTAGGGGTGAGTGAAATTACTCAATGCATGACCAGAGGTGAACGAAGAGAAAAATGCAAAAAAAAAAAAAATTGTTATTTTAAATCATGTTAAACCATATATTAGTATATCTAATGAGATAAGGCATGATTTGGATTGATTCTAAGACTAGGGAGTCAAATTTATTGTACACAAACCTCCTAAAACTCTCTAGGAGGTGTATTATGAAGTTTGAAAGAGTTCTTCCAAGTTGGGAATTTATCTCTTTTCTTTTCTCTAATTTTTTTTTTATGTCTTTCATTAGGATGTTTTGCAATAAACTATGAGTTCTTCCTAAACTCTCAATTAGGTAAGGAATAGCCTGATTGGGATGGTTTTGCTCTTTTATATGGTTGGATTTTTTTTTTTTCTTGTTGAACAATATAATTTGTCTATAAAGTTTATTCATTTGCTTTTCTATTTATCTTTCTCAAATTTCTTATATATATATATAGATGGCTACTATATAAATTGTTTGTAAGTAGTTTGATAAATTGGAAGGTGAAAAACTCATCTAGACTTAGAGATATAGGTGTAGATAACTAGATTAGGAATAATTTAAGAGTCTGTAGTGGCTTAGATCGTAAATTTATGATTTAATTAAAGAGTAGAATTTAATAGAAGCTAAATTTAACTTTAATTAAATACATCTTAATATATTAGAAGATTAAGAAATCTTAGAAATCGTTGTCATTACAAAAAAAAAATGATAAATAACTAAATTTTAGTGCTTGTTTAATTGGTTGGTTGATCGATTACTCACTTTTCTCCTTTATTTGCTTTATTTAATTATTAAATCCTTTTCAAAATATTTTTCTGTTTTCTTAAATAATAATAAATATCACTATCTTCTTTTAAATTTAATTCAAAATAGTCTGAATTTATTATTCTGTACACTTTACATTCCTTCATTAATTGTCCGCGAGCGGACATAGGCAGGTGTGATAGGCCTTCTCTTCCATTTGTGTCCATGAACAGGTGGTTCTTCGGCCGATTTTATCTATGAACATATTCCTTTTTGGGCCCTCCATCAAATCCATTACGTGTTTAGCTCAATTTATGTTATTTTGCTCCTTTTCTCTGTAAACAAACACGAAACCAACAAGTGAGGTATTTTATTCTTATTTAAGCTTATTTTGTGTATTATTCAGGTAATAAAAGGGAAAAAAATACATATAAAATCACGGTTATTAAAATGACCACTTATCGCCAAGTAGATGTGGTACACATAATAACAATTTGGGCCTATTAAGCATTATTCCATCATTTGATTTTTGGAAGCAAGTATAGAAAAATATTACTTGAAAAAGAAAAACCTCTTAAATGATATTCTAATTCTTTGGGGGATTAATCTCATGTTGTCGGTTGTAGGATTACCTCAGGCAACCAAAAAAAAAAAAGACCACTTATCACTCTCCCCCTTTCTTAAACCAAACTCACTTTTTTTTATCCCGTAAAATGCGTAATTACTATGTCAAATGTTTTTTCTTCTCATATTATAAAATTATTAATAAATATTAAAAAAATAAAATAACAAAATTTTTTATAGAGTTATGGTTATTATCCGTGCAAACACCGAAACTGGTGGGTTGGTAATGGTGGAAGGCATCTTTAGCTGCTACGGGACCTTTATTGAATTATGAGATATTATTTATCTTTAGACTTTCGTACAGTTCCTTTTTTATGGCAAGAGTTAAACTGCTTCACTTTTAAATGTTTGAGGAACCATTGAACTAAAGTGAAGTTTAGGATGCCAAATATGTCTAAGTGAATAATTGAAGGGTAATAATGACCTTCAATTTATTATTAAATTATAATACATGAATACTTTTGGTCAAAAAATTATAATGTATGAATTACTGTAAAGCAATCGAAATTGGTCTTTATAAGGTGAATAATTAATAAGAGAATGACCGATATAACGCTTAACTATTGAGTTTATCAAACAAACAGAACACTTAATTAAATATTGAACAGTAGAGGAAAATTAAGGGATAATGATAAAACATGTCCCCGAAATATGAAAATAATAATATAGTACAACAAAATGTGATAATTATTACTTTGTCCTTGGAGGTTTGTCTGGCATTTTGAATTTTGACAAAATAACATATTTGCTCTCAACAACTATTATGCGTTGGGAAATAACTACTTTGATTGGGTTATTGTCTGACATAGTTTAGGGATATGTTGTTTATATGTTTAAGGTGTTTGTTTTTAATTAAATTAAGATATGTGAATTTTTTACAAATTATTTATTGTATAATAAACTCTTATTATTAATATTATTAACACAGTAAAATTTATTTATTTTGATTTGATTAGATAAAATTATATTAAATATATAAGACTAAGTATCTAAATTATGTCCTCTTTTTTTTGTCATTTTCTCAAGATTTTTTTTTTTTGCCAACATTTTCCCAAGAATTAAACCACACCGATTCAATTAATGTCAAACCGCACCTATTATTAGAAATTGGTTTGTAACTGCATGACAAAGCAAGACTTAGAACTTCAAATCTCATCATAACTATTCAAGACACTAACCAAAAAACCCACACCTAATAATTTATTCAATTGATTAATTCATGCCAAACCTAATATCTGAAACTTTTGATTGCGTGTTTGTGTGTGTTTTTTACTGTGGAATTATTTTCGAAGCATTCAAGCAATTTGGTCATGTAACTTCGAAGGATATCACAGTTGGAAAGTTATGAAGTTTCCTGGAAAAGAACTGAGAGACTTGAAACAGCATTCTGCGATTGCTTAATGCGATTTTGTAGAAAATGAAGTTTGACGAAATTGGCAACATCTTTTCTCCTAAGAAAAATCCATAGAGATGATAACAAATTAAGTAATACAGGAAAAAAAAGAGTCAATCTATCAATTTCCTAGACAGAGCTATTAAGTGATCAAAATAAAAACTAAAAACAAATTAAACTACATATACTCTCTTTAATCCTATTTATGAGTCATGTTATTAAATTTTTATTATAAATTTTTTTACCCTCCATTGAATATTGGAGAGAGAAAATATGTTATTGAAGTATGTATATTAATAGAAGTAAAGTTGAGAATTTCTTAAATTTTAAAACAAAATTAAAAAATTTTAAGATTTTTTTAATGCTGATGAAATATGTTGAAAGTAATTTATAAATAGGGTCAAATGAGTATAGCAATCCATTAGTTTTTGCTTGCCAAGTCAGAATTGGCGTTTTGGGACGAGGAAGGAAATATTGCGAATTATTA